TTGCTCTCACGGTCTTTGCGAACTACATCATAACCTGATAGATGTACTTCGCCGTCTTTGCTGTTCACGTTTGCAAAGAAGAGTAATCCCGGGTTTTCAACATATTATGTGGCCTGCTAATAAAGTTAATTAAGCTTTAGGGGTCTGGTTCTCTACAACTAAAGGCGAATCTCTAACACTGAACCATGAAGAAAAAAAGGAAAAGATTTGTAGGTTAGTTGATATTTGGCAATTTAGAAGATTAACCCTTCTTGGGAAAATAATGGTCTTTAAGAGTTTGATCGCTTCGCAGCTAGTTTACATCTTGTCCCCTCTACCATCGTCGCATCATAACCTTAAAGAAATAAAAGGTGTCATCCCAATGGGTTGGAAAACAAAGTCAAAATAACAGAAATAATCAGTGACTTTGCCGAAGGTGGCCTCAAAATGCTAGATGCTCTTAAAGCGAAATGGAGTCAACGATATCTAGATCCTCATAACAGAGGAAAATGGAAGCTGTTTGTAGAGTTCTCCCTAACAGGTCACGACATCAACCTTCTTTTGCAAGTTAACCTTAATTCGGATGATGTTGCCTCTTTGGGATTAGAAGAACCTATAAAGAGCTTATCGAAACGTGGTCACTTCTGAATTTTAAAAAAACAACTTTGGGGAAACACCAGTTTGGTACAACTCTCTTATACGTATTGAAAACAAGCCTATCCATTATCGTATCTGGTCCTCGGCAGGTATTTTCTTCGTAAGTGGCCATTTGGAAGAGGATTCACAATTTTTAATTTTTGATACTTTCAAGGAAAAGTTTGCGATAAAAGCTCACTTTCTACAGTACCACAGCGTGATATGTGCCATCTCGAATATAAAACGTAAAAACCAATGTTCACAAATGAAAGATGCTAAAACCGACGCCAAAAGCGTATTATCCTCTGAAGCTTTCTGTAAACTAGCTTACAAATCATTTCTAACTAAAAGCGCCTCTGTCCCTTGTCAAAGTCAGGAAAAATGGCTGGCAGACTGCAAATCTTTTGACTTTAACACGACTGATTGGGGTAAGTCATATACCCTTGCTTTTCTATGTACCAGGGAATCTAAATTACGTGTATTTCAACTTAAACTTCGGCATGGAAAATTGGCAACGAACTATTTCCTTTTTAAAATTGGAATCAAATCTAATGATCAATGTAGTTTCTGTAACGAAAGCTCGGAAACATTTTTGCTCCTCTTTTGTGAATGTCCTTTCGTTAAATCCTTTTGAAAATTAGTAACTGGATGAAAAACAGCTCTTGCTTTCTTAACGAATAATTCTCCTTTTTGTTTTACATAGGCCTCGTGAACGATACTACAAACCTGCTTTTTAATCGTGAGGTATCACATCTATTTCTCGAAACAAAAAGGCCTTAACCCTTCATGGGAACTCGTCTCGAACCATTCTAAATTGTCTTGATTATGAAAGACGTTATGCCATTAAAACTGGGATTTTAAGAAAATTCAATGCAAAATGGGGAGCGTTTATCCGGGAAAATGATCTTTAGTCTTTAACTCTCTAGAGGCTCTTTCAGGACGTTTCTAGGCGGATAATCAGTAATCCTGTGTGGGCGTGTGTGTGCGCGTGCGTATGCAAGAACTACTTAAGTTACTTTGCCTACTCTGTATTATATATCTGGACTGTTAAGTAATTTGTGCATAGTAGCAATGTAATCATGTATCTATATGCTTTATATGTCAGTAATGTATATATATATATATATATATGTATGTATGTATATGTATATGTATATGTATATGTATATGGTGCGTGCTTATAAGCGAGACCTCTACTTTTACGGGCACGCGGCGGGATGGCAAGGTTTTCCACATATTCCATACAGTGAATTGTCAATCAACCTTTGTGATTTATATAATTGAGTGTCGAATTTGTAGATTACAATATGTAGGGAAGAGCGAGACAGCTTTCAACCTGCGCCTTAATAATCATAGGAACCATATTAAAAAAGGAGTCAACAGCTGTGAACTATCAGAGCACTTTCTTCACAACAGCAGGTCTCATGACTTTGGGAAAGACGTCACAATTACGATTATTGAACAAATCAAACGGAGTAACATGACAATTGAACGGAAAAAAGAAATGCTTCGAGCTAAAGAAATATTTTGGCAAAGTCGGCTGAACACATTGCAACCGAACGGTCTCAATAAGAGAATGGGCTAGAACTCAGAGTCGAATATACCGTTATAAAGTATTCAGTACATAAATAACGTTTTAGAACGTAAATTATAGGGGTCATTCCACTCTACGCCCACACGAATGTAATTAACCTATTAGAACAGGATTACTGGTTGCAACTAATCAACTAAGGAACACTTCTTTATTACGTCACAATAAAAGATCATTAATTGATTAATGAACCCAATGTAAAGACCCCTGATGAAGGCAGACGCCGAAACGCGTTGGGTGTGAATAAAGTTTTTATCAAGTTGTAAAACCCTTTAATGAGAAATGCAGATTCCCAGCTGGTGCTACTGATTGATAAGATGCTTACTTCTGGTCAGCCCATGTATGTTCAACCCAATGTAAACCGGCAATGGTGGCTCGTGCTCTAACGAATGTCTTGGTCTCTAACGAATGTCTTTCTTGGTTTTTCAATTGTGAGGCATGCTTGGGACTCTTGTTTCTCTTGGTTTTTCAAGTTGGATCCATTGAGAATTAAGGAAATGAGGGTCTTGAGACTTGATGGCAGTGACGTCTTCACATGTTTTCGGAAAAGATCCGTTGAAGAGAATGCCTTCATGTCTTTCCTTATTGAAGCAGCCCTGCATGGCCAAAATTATGGCGTCTTCTAGGAAGTCTCTCTTCTTTAAGGCATCTTGAATCATGTTACACATTCCTGCTTTGAAAACTAAGAGAGTATTCCAAAAAGCGCTCCTTTGGCCTGGTCTTGTTTACTGATTTCATATTACCTAGATCCTCCAGGCGACTTTCATATAAAGAGTGCAGCTGCGACAATTTAAACAGGAGTTTTCCAAAATTGACTTCTTTTTTGACATAACTTGCAAGCTCGACAAACGCGCGGGAGTTACACAGTTTTCATCAATGTTTTGCTCATCCTTGTTTGATTCCCTGACGTGACCGCGATATCTGTTTGTCAATTCAATCAAGCATTTCAGGTGATACTTAGCTCCGATCCTAATAACATCTCCTTCAACTATTCTCACAAGTAGTCGGGAATCATTAAGCTCTGTTATTATTGTTCTTATACTTGCGTCTGTCTCAAATGTAGACACCTGGAGGAGTTCTTCATCATTCTCTTGAGTTCCCTTCTCACAGAAAAAACACACTTCACTCTTCAACCATTTTCGCTTACCACGAGAACTTGTTTCTGTCGAATCACTGCTGCGTTTTATTTTCAGTTTTGCTATTTCAAGTTTGCAGCTGCTAAATTTCGCGTAGCAAGACTTATGCCGTGACGCACGATGAAATTCTCGGTTTTCTGCAGTCTCATCACATCCAAATTTGACTATCACTGGAAAAGAAGCAGTATCTTGAAACTGCTTTACGTGATTAGGAAAGTTCTTATATGCGTCTTTTTTTTTGTTTCCTTTCTTAACCTGGTTTTCCAAAGGACATGTTAGAGCTTCTGAGGTTTTCCTCTGGCATATAACACATCGTTTCCAGTCTAGCTCCATGTTTTGCGGTCACAAGCTAAAACAAATAAGGAATTGCTACATGTATAACAATGTATATGCCACAATGTTCAATTTTTGGTCAATTTGTTTTGGGAAAGGTGGTTCAACAACGAGGTAGATGGCGAAGAGTGCTGCCTAACATCAAACCCGACGTCTTGGTTTTGATTGTTAACGACACACCCCTAGAGACCATTGGAATCTTGGCAGAGTGTTGGAGACTTACACGGGTCCAGATGGTCTAGTACAGACTGTGAAGGTCAAGACCAAAGACGCTGTCTATGTTCGTGCTATACAAAAGTTGTGCTTGCTTGAGAACGATGTGAAAGAAGTAGATAAAATGTAGATTCTGAGTTTAACTGTCGGGACGTTCTACGCGATCACCCCAAGGCGGGCTGGATGTTCGGGACAAATCTAATTTAAACATCGAATATGAAAATCATCCGAAAACTGTTCTGTTTGTAGATAGGGACCTGAGCGTTAGTCACGTGACCCCCTTTTCTGCATGTGACTAGCGGGTTCGTCGGCGCGCGTTGTTGCGTTGTTTTATTGCAGAGAGAGCACAGAACTTGTGAGTATTTTGTTCGTTTTTCAGTTCTAGTTGGCTCTCTACCTACATGTTTTGTATTTTTGTTTTAGTTTTTACCGTTCGAGTTAAAAAATTCTGTGCTTATCCCCAACAGTTAGAATTTAAATATTTTGCCTTTCTTTGATAAAGCAAGCATTAATTTAGACTCTCAAAAAAGTCCTTTGTCCCATTTAATATGGCGCAGGACGAACTCGCTTGGCCGCTTCGAGGCCTAAAAAACACGCTCCGCTCGCTAAGAAACTCGTAAGGTTGACTTGTGGCAATTGTAGCATTAATTTAAATCGTAATCTATTCCACAACACTGTCATTCATGCTCAGTTTGAATATGATACAGGAATAATAACGCTCAGCGGTCTAAGCTAAGCCGGAACAGCCTGGCTTCGGGTAGCAGTATTGAACAACCCACGCGCATTATTTTTGTTAAGATAAAATGGGTGGGCGGGCAAGCGGGCCGATTCTTTGTTCCCTGCTCCGCTGGCGGAAACTAAGCAAGAAAGGAGTGACCCGTCCCAACATGGCATTTATAGCCCTACTATACCTTCGTACATTGGACCGTCCAGGCAAATCGCTGCCCAAGTGTTTACCACTATGTGCCGAACAAATATATATTTTTGCTAATGAAATTGCCAATTATCTCAGAAAGACAAAATGAAGAAATCCATTTTTCGTCATCTTAAGTGGTCGATTCTTACACTGGCCGCTTCTTAAATTCGTGAATAGGTGATTTATCAATAACAATGGAGGCTCAAAAAAGTTACACCCTGACGTTTGGAACTTATCATCGCCCGAAAAGAAATTGAAAAGAATGCTTATGCAAAATTCTGAAGGGACAACAAAGAGTATTATGTTATTTTTGAAAAATAACTTTTTGTTTATTTTATCTTGTTTCATTTGCTTTTTTTACAGGTTGCCGCGCATCATTTCACAAAAACTGTTTTGTTGAGGGAAAATGTCCCAAGTGTGAAAGGATACGCATAAGGTATGTTTTTTGTTGCTGGTTTTAATACATTTTGGATCCAATTACTCATTTTAGTACCATGGTCGCTATTAACCTGCAATTACGAAAGCAAGGAAGAAAGCAGGTTCTTAGGCTTGCTTCAGAAATTGAGGTAATGTAAAGATTAAGCCTAGCGTTAAAGCCATGTTTCCGTTGATTGACTTAAATTTACTTCAAGAAATAAGCTTTAATAATAATCATTGCAAAGAAGTCCGCAAGTCTATGATCTATGCTTTGGGGGTGGATGATTTCACTTTTGAGGTAGGGGTTTCACTCTTTAAGGCTTGGGGTGATTTAAGAATGAGAAATTAGAGAGATTAAGATTCACGTTTACGGCAAACGTCAAACGTCAGTGGAGAATTTCTCAGAATAGAAAATACGCAGATAAAAACAATCCAGAACGATTCTTATGGATAAAACTAGCATAAAACCACTTATTATTGTGTAGAAGCAATAAACAGTAAACGAAAAATAAGGAAAACTTACTCACGTGGTACAAATTCACGTTTGCAGTTTGGTGTAAACTTGAATCTTAATCTCTCTATAATCTGCTAACAGACGTGAAACGAAAAAGGCTTGCATCCAGTTAAGTCTTATTTTATGCCAAAAAACAGGAAGTAAAGTAAAAACAGGAACTTGGAGAAAAATTAGTGCCCAGACTTAACCTCCCCTTCCCCCGTCCCGTTAAGTAGTAAAGACAGGTTTTAACACAGCAGCAATACGGCAGCAATTTGTTTCCCTACGTAGGTCAAGTTATTATCTTGAAAACTGTTTATTAACATGTCATTTACGGGATCGATTTTCTGTCCAGGTCCTTGTGACAAAGCATACTAGTTAAATCCCTCCCTGATAAGGGACAGATGTTAAAAGAAGCTAACGATGTTTAAGATTTCCATTGATTTTAAGGCAACAATCACTCACGCATTGTACTTTTCTAGCGAAAAGCACTGATCAGCAACGCGCATGCGCATCTCATGCGTGTTTGTCGTAACGTAGACTGATGACAGGGTAGAATTTAAAAAGGAGCCCTATCGTAGGGCTTTGCCACAGGCAGCTTGATAAAAATCTTCATTCTGAGAATGGAAATACTTCTGAAATCCTTCTAAGACGACAAGCCAGATTCGCCTTGTGCTTATACTTCAATCTGGGACAAAAGTAGTTGATTCTGTTTAAACGCCGTAAATCTCCCCGCCCCAATGTTGTTTATGATTGAAGAAAGACGTGGGGGGTTAATATACGACTTTGGTTTTGGGGGTAGTGGGTGGGGGTACACAGGGGAAGGGGATAAATACATTCACTATGCAAAAAAAGGCGCCATTTTATGGAAGTGTTTCAACACTTTTGTCCCTCATTGTCTGAACGTAAAATCGTATTACTACACACAGGTTGAGCACTGTGTGACAGTGTGACACTGTGATAATGATATCAACTGAAGTTAAAGGCATTAGTGACATAAATATGTTGTTGCTGGTGGAAGTGACATTGACTTATTCGCGACCGAATAAGTGTAGGTAATGTAGGGTGGAAGTTTGGATCAATCAGCACAGGTACTCAAATTGCACGAGAAAAATCATGTGATTACTTGTTAATGATATGCATGCAAGCATTTTAGTTCCTTGTTCTCTTTTAGAAGGTCCTTAACTTTGTTTGTTACGCCTTGCATAGTTACTACACTTTATGGCGGGCGCAGTATCTTTTTCTTTGTTGTTCTGTATATCTTTTCTGTTTCTTCGTCATTTCTGTAGGCTTTTGTGCGTGATTTCCACGGACCTTTATTTCCACTCTCATCGTTCTTAACGTATTGGCTAGCCCTCTTGGGGTTTTTTCCTTTTTTGCCTTAGCAATAGGGTAAAACTTAGAGAATGCAAATAAACAACACAGAAAAAAGGGCCTGAGGAAAGCAAGCTAGATGGAGTGGAGAACGAACACTACGCAGGTAAACGCAGGAAAGGGACAAATAAGAACACGCCGACACGTGCACATGAAAAGCGGCAGCAACGCTAGCGAAGTATGAAAAAAACGGTAGACATATTACTTCAAGCCCGTTGGCGTCGAGAACTGGTTGTGCCGGAGGTTGTTCGCCTGGAATGTCCTGGACCTCATTGGTCTGTGGAGCACCAGGTACCTGGTTTCCTTGGGGTTGGGCTTCGTTAGCAGCCATAACCCGTATTAGTCGAAACTTCTATCGAAATGGTAATGAATGCGTTTGTGCGATCCCTCTTATACTCGCTTAGGTAAGACCGCTGTAAATAGGATTTTATATATGGATAAGTAATGTGAAAAATGGGTATTGAACACTCTTTAAAAGTAATAGAGCTTGATCACTATCGTGTGATGGCGAGGGCATTTTGAGTCAGTGTGTGTTGCCTTTAACTTAGTACTATCCTGTACAGTATGTTGCCCAGTATCCGGACGGTACCAGTATCCGGACACTTAAAACAAAAACTCAATTTTTGAGGCGCCCTTTTCAGTTATCGGTAAACGAAGTATTTCGAATGAAAGCTGAACATTTCAGCTTTAAGATGAAGGTTTTGGCGAGTTGAAAGCTTGCGAAACAGTCGCAGAAGACGCCGTTCTGTTCAGGTGAATACACATTTCATGGCTAATATTTACGCTGTTTACTGCGCAGTAAAATTAGTGCTGCTCACAAAAGGGTTGGTAATATGTCATATTTTCAAAGAAACGGTTTTATATTTAACGTGAAGATAGTTAAAGAAGTCAGGTTCACAGAAAGTTTATTAATTCTTCTTGAAATTTGATTTGTTTGGAATAACGGAGCCCAGAAACATTCACTAAGTATTGATGTCAGGTAACCAGTATCCGGACAGTTTTTTCTTTGCTGTACAGAATCGAGTTATTTCATATCTATGACTATAATTGAAGCTTAGGATATTTGATATAGTCGTAAAATGGAATTCTACTCAACTCCGTGCGGAAATTTTCTTCACTCATTCCGTGGCGACTTGATTTCGTGTGCGCCTCTTGTTTCGCGTGACTGCATTTACTATATATAACCGAAAGCGTCGGAGTCGAACCTGGAATTCTCATACTTTCCCCAGTTGTGACTGCTAGAATGGGGTTGCAACGGTCTGAAAAATGTCACAAAGGGCTTGAGAGATGTGAAAGAAGGAGGAATTAGTGCTAGAAAAGCAGGCTTATTGTAGGGTCTGTAGGGACTGAGCATGAAGAAATCAAATAGACTAAATAGGAGAGTGACCTTTGACCGTCGCAATGAGGTCCCTTCGCGAAGCTTTTTTTTTTTAATAAAAAATGAAGAAAAAAATTCGTTTGCAGATTGGGTAATTGAGCTAGCAAACCCCGGCTTCGGCATGTCCACGGACGCCTTCCTTAAATCAGTGAAAAAGTTCCTAGACAAGGAAGTAAGAATTATGCTATTAAACAACCGCTGGCGTTCCCCACCATACCCCAGTCATTTGTTATGTTTTATTTCACGATGCTAGGTTATATTTTTGGAATCGATTGCGAGACTACTTAGCAAATGCAAGAGAAGCTTATAAGTCGCTTGCCTGTCGAAATTTATATACAGTTGCGTTGTTATTGTTGTGTCCGGATACTGGGCAACACAGGAGCTCTGCAAAAAATATTAATTTCGCGATGGAACCAGAGGCAAAAAAGTTAAACTGTCTTTTGTCATATTAAGGACTAAATAGATTTTCTCTGGGCCAAATTTCAGAGCTCTTGCGACCAACAAAGGAAAGTTATTGCAATGTTAAACTGAAGTGTCCGGATACTGGGCAACATACTGTATAGACAAAAGGTTGTAAAGATTGTGAAGTGATCAATAAAACACTTAAATTTTGGTTTTTTACAGTTTGGGCTGCTTTTCGTACAGTCGATTGAGTAAGAATTCTCGCTTATCGATTGCAAGTTCGGTCGATTCCAGCCAATCAAATCCTTCTGTTTCTTTAATCTCTTTTGGGGTTTCAACCACTATTTTGAAGGTGGGATCTTTTTTCATTGCACGCATCCACTGTACATTCTCTAAGAGTACTTTTCTGAGCTCTTTTCTGTAAACAGGAACGAGAGCGTTCTCGGCTTTAATACGAGCCACGTTTTCTGAATCTCCGTTTCCTTCGTACTCATTGATCAATGCGTTGAGCTGGGTTTCAGAACGTTTCTCGGCCTCATCAAAAATGTGTGACCACGGCTCTAAGTTTTCTGTTTCTTCTTTGGAAGACTCCATTCCTTGGCTGGCTTGAGAGACTTCGCTTTCTCGGGAGAAATCGCTTTCTTCACTTTCTTCTTCCAATTTTCCAGCACCCTGTTGAAGAAGGTTGTAATGATAGTTATTGTTCCACATTTTTCGGTTTGAACCGCTCGCCTTCTGATAGGAAACTAAACCTCAGAAAGGAACGCGCTTCTTTCATAGAATATTGGTGAAGGCAGGGTTACTAAGCGTTCTCCTTAGTAAATAATAATCGATTTTACATCGACCTCACATAACCCAACATCGACCCTACATCAACCTCACATCGACCCTACATCGACTCCACATCGACCCCTCCTCGACCGCTCATCGACCTCACATCAACGCCACATCCACCCGACATCGACCTAATATTAGCTAATATTACATCACGATTGACAAGAATTGGATTAGAACTGGTGATGTCATCAAATTTGATTAACGAAGCTACATAAACAGGAAATTAACTTATTTCCGTCAGTATGTTGGAGGTTCTCGTGTGGTAAAGATGCCGTATAAATTCAAGAGAGATTGCCCGGTTTGTGGAAAGCCAGAGTTACTCTCCTTGAATGATCACCTGCGTCAAGTGCATCGATTAAAGAGCCACGAAAGGAAGCAATCGCTAAATGCAGCAGTATTTTCGGGTCTAACAAAAGTCTGGGTATAACACAAGTAGTGTCCCGGCACGGAAATGGAAACAAGTAGAGAACGAAAACGAACTATTGCAGCTGTCAAAGAAACGGAAAAACCTCAGCACTGTGTAGTCAAGAGACCTAAATTGTCTAACGATGTTTCCCTGG